ATTCATCACCTCATACATTTATCATCTCTTTGTGGTAATAACCTTGAAAAGCCTCTCTTCTAGCTATTTTGTGATATACCGTATTTTACTGTTAACTAGTCACCCTGCTGTGTGTTAGAACATCAGAATTTATTCCTCTTTCCTAACTGTAAGTTTGTACTTACTGACCAACTTTTCCCCTTTCTCCACTTTCCCCTCCCCTCCTCAGTCTCTGGTAGTCATTCCTCTACTCTACTCCTGTGATACACATTTTTTTTTTTTTTAAGATTCCACGTATGAGTGATATCATGCAGTATTTGTCTTTCTGTGTCTGGCTTATTTCACTTAGCATGATGTCTTCCAGGTTCATTCATGTTGTAGCAAATGACAGAATGCCCATTTTTTTTTAAAGGTTGAATAATATTACATTGTGTACATTTACCGTATTTTCCTTATTCATTCATTCCTTGTTGGACAATTAGGTTAATTCATATCTTGGCTATTGTAAATAGTGCTACATTAAACATGGGAATGCAAATACCTCTTCGACATACAGATTTCATTTTCTTTGGATATGTAACCACTAGGGTGATTGCTGGATCATATGGTAGTTCTTCCCCCCGCCCCCCCGTCCACACACAGAGTCTTGTTCTGTCTTCCAGGTTGGAGTGCAGTGACATGATCATAGCTTACTGCTGCCCCGAACTCCTGGGCTCGAGCCAACCTCCCATCTCAGCCATCTGAGTAGTGAGGAATGCAGGCATACACCACCATGCTTGGCTAATTGTAAACATTTTTTGTATGTGCAGTGTCTTGCTACGTGGCCCAGACTAATCTCACACTACTGGGCTTACGTGATCCTCTGATCCCAGCCTCCTACACACTGGGATTCCTGGCGTGAACTGCTGTACCAGGCTTTACTTTTAATTTTTTAAAGAACCTCCAAAGATTTTTTCATAATGGTGTACTACTTTACAATCCCACCAGCAGTATAATAGCCATCCTAACTGGAATGAGGTAGTATCTCATTGTGGTTTTAATTTTCATTTTAAGATTTATTTTTTCCCATACATTTATGCATCCAGTTGCTTTAGCATCACTTGTTGAAAATACTTCAGTTGAATTGCCTTGGTTCCTCTTCAAGGCATTTTCATTTTCAAGATTGTTGTTGGCATTTAAATTTCATGATTATTTTTTCAAAAAAGCGATTGATATTTTGATTAAGAGTACTGTGAATCTGCAGATCAATATGATAGACTTGACATCTTAACAATATTGAGGGGTACCTAAGAGAATGGTACAGTGTGTCTCTCCACTTTTAAAATTTAAATTCTCTAATTTTTCTTAGCCATGTTTTATAGTTTTCAGTGTAGAGATCTTACATAGCTTTAGTTAGAGTTATTCCTAGGTCCCCTGGTGATTTTTAATATTATAGTATTGATTTTTAAGTTTTATTTTCTAGTTGTTGCTAATATAGAAATACAATTGATTTTAAAATATTGGCTTTGTATCCTGAGACCTTGCTAAATTCACTTGTTAGTTTTAGTAGTATTTTCGCAGATTTCTTAGTGTTTTCTATACATACAATTATGTCATTTTGAACAATGACAGTTTTACTTCATCCTTATGCTTTTTATGTCTTAATACATTGGCTAGGACCTCCAGTACAAGGTTGAATAGAAGTTGTGGAAGTGGACATCTTTGTCTTGTTTCTGATCTTAAGAATAACGATTTAATAATTCATCATTGAGTGTGATATTAGCTGTAGGTTTTTTTTTAATGTTCCTTACCAAACTGAGAAAGTTTCTCTCTGTTCCTAGTTTGTTGACAGTTTTTGTCATTAATAGGCTTTAGAATTTTGTAAAATTCCTTTTCTGTATCTATTGAAATGATACAGGTTTTCTTTTTGTTAATGTGGTAAATTATACAGATTTTTAAAAGGTTAACCTTTCATATATACTTGGCCATGATGTGTTAATCCTTTTATATATTCTTGTATTGAATTTGCTAATATTTTGTGGAGAATGTTTGTGTCTATGTTCATGAGGGATGCTGTTCTGTAATTTTCTTTTCTCATAATGTTTTAGTAAGGTTTTTGTATCAATATAATGCTGCTGGCCTCATCAGAGGAGTTAGGAAGTGTTCTCTTTGACTGTTTTTGGATAGAGTTTATGTAAGATTGGTGTTATGTTTTCCTTAAATGTTTGATAGAATTCACTAATGAAGCCATCTGGACCTGGAGCTTTCTTTTGGGGTAGGTTTTTAATTGGTTGAAATTTTTATTTCTTTTAGTTTGGTAAATTATGTTTTTCAGGGTTTTTTCTGTTTCATCTAATTTGTTGATTTTGTTGTCATAAAGTTGTTTATAATATTTTTATCTTTTTAACATCTTTAGGATTTGTAGTAATATTTCCTCATCATTCCTAGTACTAGTAATTTGTGTTTGGTGTTTTTTCTCTTTTTTCCTTGGGCAGTCTTGTGAAGGGTTTAACTATTTTATTAATCTTTTCAAATAATACTCTTTTGGCTTCATCCTTAAAATCTTCATAATATGGTATTTTATCAGGGAAGGTAGCCTGTATGATTTTGGTTTGAATCTGTTTTTGTATTAATTTTTTTTTAAATGCATGTGGTCTAATTCATGATTAATCCCCTCTCACTTTTTCATGTCCCATAATTGTATGTTCAAGTCATCTGTGTCCACACTAAATTTGTATCTGTTTTGATCTCTTTATTTTTTAAAGAGAGAGGGTCTTATTGTGTTAACACACACTGGGGTACAGTGATGATCATGTCTCACAGTAACCTCAAATTCCTGAGCTCAAGTCATCCTCACTCCTCATCCTCCTGAGTAATTCGTACTACAGGTGTGCCCCACCACTCCCAGCTAATTTTAAAAAAGTTTTTTGTAGAGGTGAGTTGTTGTTGTGTTGCCCAGGCTGGTCTCGAACTCCTAGCCTCAAGTGATCCTCCTGCCTTGGCCTCCCTTAGAGCTGGGATTACAGGTATAACACCATACCCCACTTTTTTTATCTTTTGATTTCTGAGAGGATGTTAGTTTCCAGTTGTGATTGTGGATTTGTGTATTTCTTTTGCCTTTTTGTCCTGTTGGATTTTGCTTTCTATATTTGAAGGCCTTTTTTCAGTTTATTACTGTATCTTCTTGTGGTTTTTATTAATATGACCTCATTTGTTAATTTTATCTTCATACATTTACTAGTATGAAACTTTTTACCTTGAGTTCTAGTTTGTCTCATGTCAATACTGCCTCATTTACTTTTTCTTCTTTTTATTTACCTGATATATATTTCTAAGTAAACATCACCTGTCTAGAGTAAGACTAAGACTTAAGAAAAAAGGCAAATTTATGTACAATTTCTCCTTTAACCCTTTTCTCTAACACCACCAGTCCCTCTTTCCTGGATGTTTACTAACACTTCCTGTCCTGCCAGCAAGGGAGAGCCTTTTGCAGAAGGGTCTACATTTCTCTCTCTGCTTTCAGTATCCTTTGTAGGATAAATAAAAGCAGTGCTACCCAGCTAGTACAGCAGCTTTCCCCTATGTAGCACGCCTTAAATTTCATTTCTGAATTAATGATTTTATTACATCTAGTTTGGAAATGAGAAAACTAATTTTATAGGATAAATACCTGTAGCAGAGTGATTTGTTTCTAGGTCTGTATTCTTAGGAGGTGCGAGATTCACATCTTGACCTCTCTGCATACTATGAGATTTCAGACCCCATAGTCAGGCTCAGTAAAATGTGAAATTTGGCTTTTGGCTGGTCTCTACAGTCTATTTCCCCCTCTAACTTGTGGACTATATGTCTTGTGTGCTACAGGGACACCTGGATAGAACTTTAAATAACCGTAAATCAATTCAAGAAAAAGTTACTACCTGCTTTTAGTCTTTCAGTTCCTTGGATGATCATGGAGAAATCCTCTGTGATTTATTTTATTTTATTTTATGTTTCTCGAACACTCAATTATACCTCCCTCCTCCCTTTTTGTAAACAGTGGGCTAGGCTCAAGCTCACTGCCTTCTTGGTAGGGATCAGACTTGAGCTAGAGTTTAGTACATTTGTTTTGTTTGTGTTTTTTGGTAACTTTTTTTTTTTTAACAGTGTCTGTTGATTTACCACTGAAAAGTAGTGATTAACTTTTGCCTTAAAAATTTTTATTTTAACAAATTAAATTAGTTTTAAAGAAAAATATTAAATACAGTTGGGATAAAGGTGTGACAAAATTGAGAGCATGATACATATTGGTGATCGTATATGCCCTGGTTGAGAAGGTGGTCTGTTAATGAGTGAAACGGGAGTCGCTTCTCTGGCATTCCAGGCATTTCATTTATTTTTGTTTTGTCTGTAGTACTAAACTCTTGATTAACAAGTGTTTATGTTTTGTGCAGATAGCTATGTCCTGCAGATGCCATGAAAAACGTGGTTTTCATTTTGTAGTCTGGGTAGGGAAGACAGTATGTGCCTGCAAAGCACCTGATGCGAGGGTATACCATGGTAAATGCTATCAGAACAGCAAGGACCTTACTTGTGTTGTCAGAGGAAGAAGAGGTCATTTCTGGCTGGGGCTTGAGGCTTGGCTCGGGCTTATGTTTTATCCGAGGTGCCTTTCTCTCTTTCATTTTGAATCTCCCTTCCTAAGTCCACATAAATTTTTTGGGAAAAGGGGTATTTCTTTATAGCTGTTACTCTAAGAAGCACTGTGTCCAGAAGAAAGAACATCACACTGGCCCTCAGAAGATGGTGGCTGCCAGAGTTCTGGTTCTAGTACAGCTGGATAACTGCTTAACTGTTTCAACTCCCAATTTCTTCATCTTTCTTGGTAATAATAAAACCCTGTGTCTCTGTTATTTCATAAGGCGGTCTATATGAGGGCCATTTGTGATGTTTATTTGCTTGCATCAATATTATCTTCACTATATTATTTGTATTTGAAGTACTGATAGGGATGATTTTGAGGGTATTTTAAGTGTTTAATTATTTTTTTCCTATTTTTTTTCTAGGTCTTGATGCAGAACTTTATTATGTGAGAAATGACCTTATTAGTCACTACGCTCTATCCTTTAATCTGTTAATACCCAGTGAGACAAATTTCCTGCACTTCACCTGGCATGCAAAGTCCAAGGTAAGACCGTGGCTAACCACAGACATCATGACAGGGTCACCCAGCCACAGAGGCAGGGGCTGTGTTTGGGGACTGGGCTGCCTGTACCAAAGGGTCTGCGGGTGATATAATATAATAGTACTGAGTTTTTTCAGATTTGTATTTCAAATCTTAGGCCTATTCCTCTAAAATTTCTCAAATCTTTTAAAACGAAGGTGGCTGTCATTTAAGTGATTAGCATATGACACCATACTTACATCCTTTTGGGCTCTGCAAACAAAGATCTAGACCTAACTTAAAAAGGCTACAGTTGGACCCAATAATGACCGGGCTGCTGGGTGGAATGTTATGTGTAGGGTTGAGGATTGGTGAGGTAGGTCTTTTAGACGAGTTTGACAGAATGGATACAGTTCTCCCACTCATGGAGAAACGGTGTAAGAAAGGTACAGCAGATGTAGCCCCCCATGTGTCCTGTGCTGAGCCTTCTTTAACCACAAGGGGCTAAACCCAAGCACTTGAGAATCTCTTGCCTGGGTTACCTGTTGTTGAATTCTTCACATTTCATGTGACTGCCTGGGTCCCTTAAACATGCTAAGTTTGGGCCGGGTGCGGTGGCTCACGCCTGTAATCCCAGCACTTTAGGAGGCCGAGGCGGGTGGATCATGAGGTAAAGAGGTCGAGACCATCCTGATCAACATGGTGAAACCCTGTCTCTACTAAAAATACAAAAAACTTAGCTGGGCATGGTGGCGCGTACCTGTAATCCCAGCTACTCGGGAGGCTGAGGCAGGAGAATTGCCTGAACCCAGGAGGCAGAGGTTGCGGTGAGCCGAGATGCGCCATTGCATTCCAGCCTGGGTAACAAGAGCGAAACTCCGTCTCAAAAAAAAAAAAAAAACATGCTAAGTTTTCTCCTACGTTAGAGAGTCAGAGGGTGAGCATGGAGCTGCCTCCTTTTCCCAACTAACTTCAGTTTCTTTTATCAGCTTTATATATAGGCTTTTGAATAATATTTTATTTAGGAAATAAAAATAGTCTTGCTACTAAAAATAAGAATACCTACTGTAGAGTTTTAAAAAAGTTATTATAGAGTAGTGTCTGTCATTATATTTGCTGCAAGTTTTTCAAATTGGCCACTTTAATATAGTTTTTTTTTTAAATATTTTTTTCTACTTAGAAAACAACAATGATTATTGGGAAGATTCAAATATTACAGAAATATTTTAAGAACTGTAAGACTCCGTAGTTCTGTACTAAGAAGTAATTGTTTATAGTTTTTGGTATAACTTCTTCAAGTCCTCCTTTTTTCCCTACCAAATAACTTATCTGGGCATCTTTCTTTTTCTCTTTCACTCATTTTCTTTAGTGGTTTTATAATGTGATACTGTATGGATGTATGATACATTGCTATCTGTAAATTACCTCTTTAATGGGACACATGGATTTTTAATAGCATTTTATTATTTCAAACAAGGCTTCCCTTCACTGTTACACACAGTTTCCCTCATTTCATTTTGTAGGCAAAATCCAGGTAATGAGATGATAAAAACAATTGGTAGTTCATCTTTTATTGATGTTTCTACCTTTGCTCTTTCTTTTATTTAAAATTTTTTCAACCTTTGCTTTTGATGACTACAGAAACAGAAGAAAATGTGTAAACGTGTGTCCCTGTGTGTGTATATGTTTATATATGAGTATATGTGTGCATGTATATAAAATTTTAAGAACATCTTTGTTTAGAAGTTTTTGTGCACTTGTGGCCTTATTTCTGAATAGTAAATTAGCGCTAAGAAGTAAAATGACTAGGCCAAAGTGTGTGCATATTTAAAACTTTGATAGATACTGCCAAATATACCAATGAATAAGAGTGCTTCTTTTTGATCTTCATTTCTGAATCCCAACATTTTAAGTCTACTTGTTTCCCTTCCTTTCTTCCTCTCCTTCCCCCTCTCCATACGTCAGTGTGTATTTTCTAAAAAAAGGACATTCTTTATATAATCAAAGTACAATAATCCAAACCAGGAAATTTGACATTATTATCATGTTATTATCTAATCCACAGTAGTCACATTTTATCAATTATCCCAATAATGTTCTTCATAGCTAATTTTTTGTCTCTTAGTTCCCTGTGAGTCTGGAACAGTTCCATAGCCTTTCTTTGTGTGTTTTGATCTTAACATTCTTGAAACATACAGGCCAGTTTTGTAGAATGTCCCTCAGTTTGCATTGTCTGAGGTTTCCTCATGATTAGATTCAGGAGTATCTCTTTGGCAGTGATGCCACAAAGGTGCTGGTGCTGTTCTTCCCAGTCCACAAGATGCCAGTTTGTACCATTGACTGGTGGTGGTCACTCCAAACACTCTCTTCACCAGATTTCTCCCCTGTCACGGTTTTCCCTTTATAATTAGTAAATAATTTGTGGAGAGAGAATTTGAAAGTAACTTAAAAAAAAAAAACTCTCATTCCTCATCACCCTTTCAACCACTAGATTTTGCATCTGTTTTTGGAACTAGTTTGATTTTTCCGGCCAGTGCTGTGGTGAGGGTAGTATGTTTCTTCTCACTAGAAGAAGTCAGACCTATACTGGATAACCATTTGATAAGGCTGTTATAGAAGGAATTCAAGTATTTGTGGAGTGGTGGTTACTAAATTTTAAGTTCCTTTGCAACTCTGAAGTCCAGTGTTTCTGTGAGCATCTTTCAGGAAGAGAAGCCTCTTATATTCTTCAAAACATTGATAACTAATTCTTTGTTATTATTCTTACCTTTGATGTTGATACATATAAGAACAAATAATACATGTATTTCAAAATGGTGAAAGATTTATTAGAAAATTCTGTTCTAGGTACTTCTGTTGACTTTGAACAGGGTGTGAATATTTCTGGGCACATTTAGGAAAAAAGAAGACTGATATATCACGAGAAGGTTTCCTGGGCAAGTGTATGGGTAGTGATTTGTGAGTACAAAGGCAATGTGGGAAGTGTAGCAGTCAGGACTGAAGAAAATAAAACCTTTTACCGATTCCTTGAAGACAATTAATATACACTGTTTGTTATTTGGAGTGAGTTCAGGGCCCTGATGTTTCTGGTAATGGGGGTCTGAGTCTTAGGAGCCTGTTCCAGAAGGAAGTTGGAGTGGGAGAGAGCAGATAGGAGGGGGTCAGGTGAATATATATGTTTAAAGGGGAAGCAGTGTTAGCATCGTACATTTTGGTTCAGGAGAAGCCTTGGTGTAGCTATGCTTGTACTCCCATATCATTCACATTATTTTATAGAGCATAATTTCTAAGTTACTTCTTTGGCAGGTATAAATATTATCATTGGTGTACATTTGGGCTGCTACTGCTGGTATGATATTCTTGGTGGGGCAGCAATTTCCTGATGTTTTTTGGAGGATATGACCATTTATTTACATGTCCAGGCCAGAAATGTAGAAGGGATCCTAGTTTTCTTCCCCTACGCTTTCTAAATCTAGTTGATTCTCTCTAATACTTATATGTTAAATTTATTTCCTACTTCTCTTGTGACTCAACACCTCATCCTTAGTTTGGGCCTTCATTGTTTCTTCCTGGATTCATTGTGGTCTTCTGGCTGGTCTCCTTTCCTCTGGACTGACCTTTTGTTGCACCATCCACAAAGCCACCCTAGGCTTCTCTGTTGCTATCAGAATAAAGCTCTTGATTTCCTAGGAGGCCTTTATCATCTGGTCTCGACCTTTCTTTTCTGCCTTCTATCTAGACAGTCATTTAGTGCCATTTTTGTCTGTATTGGAATCTCTTGAATGCCCTGTGATCTGTCACCGTGCTGCTGTTTGCTACAAATGCCCTTTCTTCATTCTGTACCTGATTAACTCCTGTTTACCTCATAAAACTGTGACCTGGTGTCACCTCTCCTCCAACTGTGTCGGGTGCGCTTTTCTGTCTATGCAGTGACCTTCTCTCTCATAGCCCTAGTTATATTTTAAGAAAATTGTAATAGTTGATTTTCTTTTCTGTCACCCTCCTAAATGCTGAGCTCCTCAAAGGGAGTCCCCTGAGCTTGGTCTAGCATGTGGTACCTACTGCAGAAGAGATGTTCAGGTACAAGCCACAGGGCAAGATCAACAAATGGGGAACTTCCAAGCAGTTAGGGCTTTTCAGAGTTGGAATGTGCGGCTCTAGGAGTGGTGACTCTCCTGTTTCTGGAACTGTAAAAACATATAGGCTAGGACACTTGATAGTAGTTTAACAAATGGTATTTTTCAGATATTTTAGTGAGGTTTTAAGTTTGGAAAAATGAGTGGTTTGAATATAAACTTAAACTGATTTCACGAGTTCATCTGTAACAGGTATAAAAATTTAGAGGAAAGTAACCATCTTATAATGTTTAGTAAAAAACTAAGGAAATATGTGTGTGTTAATCTAGTTTCAGGCTTTAGCCACTATTGCAGTTCCTAATTCTAGGTGATTTTAGCACAATGTATTACATTTATTTATTTTAAAAATTAATCTTATGAGTAGATAATATATGCACATAGTAAAAATTAGAAAAGACATATACAAAAAGGGTATACAATGAAAAATAAGTCCCCTACACCTTCTAGTACCATCCCTGAGCAATCCAGCTACTTAGATCCTCTTCCCTGAGTCAGCCACTGTTGCCTGATTCTTGTCTTTCCTTTAGAAATAGTTGGTGCATATATAAGCATCCATGTGTATATGTGTGTATACGTCTTTGAAAAACTAACATACCACATACTTTTCTGCAGTTTGCAGAGCACTGAACAGTATCCTGGTCAAGGATCTGTCACTTGATAAAGAGTTGCACCTTTTCCCCTTTCAAATGGCTGTATTATTTATTATTATATGGTTGTACTTCGGTTATTGATCAGTTCCTATGAGGGAATTAAGACCCAGATTTGGAAAGGGATTTGCTTAAGATGGTTGAAGTAGGGGTAAAGATGACCTGAAATGAGAAAGTCACACATGAGGGCAGGGGAAGCTTGATGAAGGGTTTGTCACCTAATAATTTAGCCCTGAGGTGT